TAATGACGTTAGATTATTAAGACAGGCATTCTTTCTGGTAATAATGAAGTTAGATTATTAAGACAGGCATTATCACCACCCACCGCCAACTCTTGGATTACTCTTTTACCAACGAATAGTGGGATTGACCGTCATATTATAACGCCCCCACGGCTGAAAGGGCGAGCATGTTTGGTGGGACTGGGATTCGAACCCGCAGATTGCGAGTCGAACTCCCTAACCACCTGGCCATGCCGGGCCCAAACCATTTAGTGTAAAGAAATGTTGTTTCCTGCTACAATTTGAAGTAATTCTAGAAAGAAAAAATGGTAATTTTGATTTATTTGTATTTTTTATGGTGGTTACGAGGTCGGTCAAATTGATCTAGTTTGTATTTAGTAAGAATGGAACAAATGACAGGTAGAATATGAAGATTTATCGAAAAAAAGAGAGTTAAACTGATGGTTCGGATCGTCAGTAGGGGCCCCTCACCGCTTGGGGACCTGGCGCCACGGTTAATGCGGCCCTGACAGTAGATCTTACCTTATATGAAATGGAGTATATATTGCACTAGTTACCGTTAGTAGAATGTAGGGCAGTAGATTTTACCTTATCTGTTCTTATATTTATTCCATGCGTCCTTATAGCATATTTTAAAATCTTAATACTTTGTATGTTGTATTGTATTATTGCATTTGTATTAATGACAATGCAACTAAGGCTATCTGTCGCCATTCCTAATTTTGAACTACCGACCCCAAAAAAGGCAGCCAGTAAGTAGCTCTCAACTATCCATCATCCACGCTAAGGGATTGACTGTCACTCTGATAACGCACTGTTAACTCGTAGTGCAAGGTATATTTTGTGATATCGCAAGGAATCGATCCCCTCTCACCAACTCCAGCTCTAACCCACGGCCAACCCACGCACAGTTACCTTTTTTACCTTTATTATTTCTGAAATAAAAACTACTTTAAAACGAAAAGAAACTCTGACAACCTCGTCTTATTACTCATTCTTACATGTCATTTTATGTATCTTATAAAACTTCAAGATGAACAGGTATTGCAATATACGAATACATAATTACAGTGTTCACATGGCTACTCCCTTGAAGACTACCTTGAAACGTAAACTGAATCCTACAAAGAAAAAAAAATCCTTCACGTGATCTCTAAAGTCGACTTTGTAATTAATTCTCGAAGTTTTTTAAAGGTGAAGATTTTTGAAAAGTTTTTGATCGAATAAACGTGTATATATTACTTCGCATGCTTCACTACGTTAATAAATACAGGCATAAAATATATAGTAATAAAGTATTTAATAAAACTGCAATGATCTATAACGTTCCGTCAATCAGAGTATTCGTTAGTCCTAGTATTATAGCCCAAATCGTGAAAACACAGGCTCTTTTACATTACATACCGAATTCAAATTTTATGTTTTAGTACGTGCTTAATTCCCGCTCTTTTATCGGGAAGTTATGGTTATCGATAAAAGCAAATACCCTAGCGGTCGATGTAGTGTTTAATACAGACAAAAGTAATATGATATGACAATTTTTTCAAAATTAAAAACACATTGCATGGAAACGACTGCGCATGCGTAGTATTGACTTGCAGATTTAAATACAAACACGATAATAAAACATTTTAATTTAAAATGTTATTTTATAATAAGGTTATAACAACGATTTTGTGGGGGTGGTTTAAGTTAATCCCGTGATACAAAACCTACAGAGGCGTAAAACATATAAGATGTCGAAGCAATGGAACTTTTAGGCCTATCAAAATTGATTCAAATTATTCGGAGTACAAAACGTTTTCACTTTTCTTACATTATTTTTAATTATTCTATTAAAGATTTAGAGGCCTCCAGGTGGCTCAGCGGTAAGAGTAAACGTTTATCATGTTAAAAATCAGGTTTTGACATTAACAGCAGGCAAAACATGAATAGCTAATTGTGTAGATTTGTAAATATCAACAAACAAATAGATGTTAAGTTGAAAGTAATCATAAACAACATTTGAATTCGATCTTTTGTCTACCATAAGACCTTTCGTTCAGTCCTCTTAATGCAACTGTGAACCCTAACCATTTCTTCAGGCCTTAAAAATACAAAGCGATATAGTAAGCTAATTACAATACACCAGGTAGAAAGATAAATCCCACTAAGAAGAATAGTGAAATTAAAGAATAACAATCAATAAAATGAAAGAAAACAGTTCCTTAATGTCTTCTAGATGCGTTTGGTTAAACCCTTGAATAAAGAGTAATTCAAAATAGACTAATGCCCAAAGTAATGTGCCGAAGGAGTTCCTTTGTATCGTTGAGGATATTTTTTCATAGAGATTCATAAAATATATTAATGTTTCAAATTATTTCATCTTCATTTCTCACTTGACAGGATTCGTTGATTAAATGTTAAACATAGATTGTTTATAGTCCTAGTAAGTTTGAGAAGAAAATCAGTTCAACGTATTGTTACACCTCTAGTCGTTAATTGATTTTCCGTAACTTCGTTCCGACGAAACTTTAGCGACACAAGTTCTTACTTAATAAAACTGGTTTATTCTTTCCGAATACAACTTTACGATACACTTATTTTCAACATTCGCGCT